AATATATATATTATATTTATAGTTCAGCTGTTTTGAAAAACCCTGAGCAATCTAATGCACTAATGTTTTATAGAATTTTTTAAATGTCTCAATATGGATAGTTTATCTTTCAAAGGCACTAATACATAATTACTTTATAGATTAAGTTTATTAAACAAAACATAAAATAAAATTTGCAAGGATATAAAGGTAGCATCTCTTCCCCAGAATGAGAATGATAGGATAGAGAGAAAGCACTTAAAACAAATAGAGGTCTTTGTTTTGAAATATTAATATTTATGGAAAATGAGTTTTAAAGACGCAAAACGTACCATTTGGGTATGGTGTTTCACACAGTGTTAGAAAATCAACAATTGAATAGTCCATTTCTAGCACGGCAGTACTTTTCCCATGCATCACTGTTAAGCAAGGTCTTCTTCCTACGGTGTCATATGACAAACCTCCTGATAAAATAATAAAAGGTTCCCTGGAAATAAAATACATATTTTGGATTATAAGTAGCATAGTGGAGACTATTTTTTGCTGTATCATATTTTATTAGTGAAATGATGAAATCTTAAATTCTACAAACTTTATATAATCATAAAATTGAATTTTAAAGTGGATTAGTTTAAGATCCAGGCAAATTCCTGAAAATTAAACTAACAATAGAAATAAACATAGATCATGTTTGACTCTTGTACTGCTCCTCCATCCCTAAAACTTTTTATCTTCTGTATGAACTTTTCACAAAATCTCTGCATTTCGGCTGGTAAGTCTCTTGAATGCTGGCTTTTTCTTCCACTTCAAACAAGGGATACTCAACAAAAATTCCCTGAGAGGATCTTAATACTTGAAGAATCCAGTTTGTTACAAACTTATTTCTCAAGGATGCATCAAGAATTTTACTAGCTACACATTTCCCTTGATAACTGAGAAAATATTCAGTTAAATAATATACTTAATTTCCTTCAGGATCCTTGTATGTATTTTCAAACTTTAACTCCTCCCATACATCCTATGAGCTGCCAACTTGTCACTTCTAATAAGTCTTACAACTCTAATTTTTCCACTCTTTACTAATCAAAATTAGAACAAAATGATTTATCTAAACTAATTTTTTAAAAGCTGTATTTTGGATATCCTTTCACATATTATACTTGGGGTATATTTCTTATATTTCATTTGATACCTGTCAAGAGTGTAATTACTTACAGATCTTACAAATGATTTAAATTTTTTTGTATTACATTTTCTAATTATGTTTCTACCATTTATAATTTTTAATGCCCACACTCAAGCCAGTGTATCTTACCTCTCACCCACTGTTCATGTATCCCTCTTTTCTACTATGCAGTAATATTCAATGGTGGTTCTGGAACTAAACCACTTACATTCAAATCTCAGCTCAGACTTTACTTTCTATTGAATTTGAACAAGCTGCTTAACCTCTCTATGTCTAGCTTCCACATGCATAAAAGGAGATAACAGAGATAAGTATCTAACTTAAATTCTTAAATTAGCACCTGAACCTACAGCATACCGAGTAGCCTATTATAATTGTCACTATCGTCCTATTGACTGACACACTCAACCATTGAGAAAATTCCTTTCATGGACTACAGCATTTTTTAAATGAAAAGTTGATGTTATAAAACAGTCTAGAGGCAATGTAATCTTTATCCTATTACTTTTAAGTAGAATTTTAGTAGAATCCCATTTATTAATATTTTATGTTAACCATAATGTTCAGGACATTCACATTAGAGAGGAGTCACCTTAGAAGTGCTATAATTTTATTGAACTTTTTAATGGGACTACTTTTTTCATTAAGTTTATCGGTACATTTTAGGTATACAATACAATTACATTCATCATTGGGATCTTGTACCTTCACATGATGTACTTCTGTTCTTATTTTTTCCCCAATCCCCTGCTTTCCCTTCAACCCTTCATCCTTTCCTATTTTTAAAGACTGTTTCCATTTTTTCCTTTCATATTTTTTTCATTTAACTTATTTCATTTCTCCTACCCTTCCCTCTTCCCCTACTTCTTTAGACCTTTTCTTTCCATTTCACATTATCAACTATACATTTTGATTCTTATTTACACTTTGTTTTTCACACCAGATACACTATTCAGTATTTACACATGTGTATACTATTTATTTCACTTAAGAGCATAGCCTCAATGTGTATTCATTTAGCTATAAATGTCTCTAGTTTCTTGTTATGGCTGTGTAGTACTCCATTTTATAGGGAAAAAAAAAAACCCATATCTTCAGTCTCCAGTGGATGGGCAATTGGGCTGTTTCCAAGTTTTAGCTATTACAGACTGTGCCACTATAAACATGGGTGTGCATATATCTCTGAGCTATGATGATTTTAATTCTTTTGGGAAGATACCCAGCAGAGGAACAGCTGAGTCAAATGGGACCTCTAATCCTAGCTTTTTGAGGTATCTCTGTACTGATTTACACAGTGGTTGCACCAATCTGCATTCCCACCAGTAGAGAAGGGTTCCTTTCTCCCCACAACCCTGCCAGCATTCCTTGGTTGATTTCTTGATAGCAGCCATTCTTTCTGGGGTAAGGTGGAATCTCAGCATTTTGTTTTCATCTGCATCTCTCAAGAGATCAGTGATGTTGAACATTCTATGTTTATTTGTTGCTTTTACTTGTTTGTCTGAGAGATGTCTGTTCATTTCAGATGCCCATTTTTTAATCCAGTTTTTATATTTGGGGGGGTCTGACTTTTTTGAGTTCTTTATATATTCTAGATAGTAGACCTCTGTCTGAGGAACAGCTGGTAAACATTTTTTCCCATGTTGTAGGTTGTCTCTTAACTCGGTTGGTGGTTTCTTTTGCAGTACAGAAGCTTTTTAATAAGATGAGATCCCAGTTGTTGAGTTTCTGTGCTAGTTCCCATGCTACTAAGGATTTGTCCAGAAAGTCTTTTCCTATGGCAGTGTCTTTGAGAGTTCCACCTAACTTATCTTCCGGCAAGTTTTGTGTTTCTGTTTTAATATTTAGATCTTTAATCCACTTGGATTTTAGTTTAGTACATGGTAAAAGGGGTCTAGTCTTAATATTTGCCAGGTTGAAATCCAGTTTTTCCAACACCATTTATTAAAAAGGCTATCTTTCCTGCAGTGTAGGTAGTCAAAGATGAGGTGTCTGAGTACATCTGGAGTTGTATCTGCATCTTTTAATCTATTCCACTGATCCTCAGGTCTGTTTCTTTGCCAGTGCCCCACTGTTTTTAGACAGTGGCTTTGTAGTACAATTTCAAGTTGGGTATTGTGATACTCCCTGTCATGTCTCTGTTGCCTAGAATGGCTGTTGCTATTCTAGGTCTCTTCTGGTTCCAAATGAATTTTTGTATTGTTTTCTCTAACTCTGTGAAATACACTGTTGGGATTTCAATCGGGATTGTACTGAATCTATATAGCAGTTTTGGAAGTATAGCCATTTTCACTATGCTGGTTCTTCCTACACAGGAAAAGGGGATGTCTTTCCATTTTCTTATATCCTCTTCATTCTCTTTTTTCGGAGTGCTATAGTTTTCAATGTAGAGGTCTTTTGCTTCCTTTGCTAGATTGAATCCTAGATATTTCATTTTTCTGGATGCTACTGTGTAAGGAATTGTTTTAATGGGACTCCTTATTAACCTCCTCAGATGACCCTGAGAACAGCTTTGGCTAACACTGTGCTTCTGTATGAAACCTTTCTTACTTATAGGACTCATCTCTATCTAAAAAGCCCTTTGAGTAAGTAATTTGCTTAACTCAGCCTAATAATACTATCGATTCACTCACAAATATTTCTTGAGTATCTATGTTCTTGGAAATAAACAAGTACTCAAAGGTTTGGTCTAGGCAGACACTAACCCATAAAGAAAATGAAACAAAATAAAGTGATGGGCTGACTGCAAGGGTGGGCTATACGGGTTACACAACAGCATTGTCAGGAAAGGCACTTGAAGTGATAATATATGGGTTGGCATCAAAACAAAAGGGAGCCAGTAATTCAAACTGCCAGAGTCAAAGAAGGAGGTAGAAAGAACTGCAACTGCAAAAACTACAAGTCAGGAATGAGCTGCGTGTGCCTGAGGAACTAAAAGGATAGCATGGCTACAGCAGTGTGAAGGTACACATGGTAACGGATAACACAACACCAAATCCTGTAAAGGTATTCTTTTTATCAGGATCTCTAGAATTGGTTTTCACAATCAATTTAATTTTGGCTTTTATACAGCAATTGGACAACTTTTTAAATTTTCGAATTCACTGCAAATCAATGCTTTTGTAAAAGAAGTGCACACACATACAACTAAACATGAATATTCATATAAAAGTTCCAGCAATGTTAAATGACATTAAAGTTTCTACACTCTTAATCTTGATTTCTGTATTTTTATCTCAGACCAGTGAGCAGACAAGTATTGCTCATACTGAGTAGCAATAGCTTAGTACACAAAAAGCTAGGACCACTATTACTTGACTACCCTATCACTGAGGGTGGTGGGAAGGTGAGAGGCAATGTGAGAATGTCACTGAAGTCTCAGTGTAAGGCCCTAGGCAATCCAATCATATCTGAAATCACCTGGATACCTGGGAAGCCAATCCCAAGTATTATTCTGACAAAAACAAAGAACTACTGCTGAGTTGACAACTGCAGCTAATTCATTTCCTTGTAGGTATCATAATTGTAGAAGTCCAAATCATTTCCTTTTGCACAGCTCCTCTTAATTACTACATAGCACTCAATAGCAATGCCCACTGTGTTCTGTGAACCCCTACAGAGTCCCAGGACCTTTACTAAAGATCTGTGAGGTCAAAATCATTTTCAGTATGATATTAAGACATTAACTTCTCATTGTGTTAATATTTACAGTATGGCTCCAAAGTAACAGTAGGTAGATGAAACTCTAAGTATATCACCATAAATCAAAGCAAAGACACCTAACTGAACTAGTCATTGTATTCTGCTTTGCCACACAATGAGAAGGTTCCCTATGCATGCATTTTAAATGTCCCTGATAAACAGTAAAATGTTGTCAGGATCAAGACTTAAACTTTGCCATATCTTTTTAATACTGTATTGATAAAATGACTAGTAGGAATAAAGAGCTTCTTTATATGTAATGTAGTTCAATAGTTATTTCCACAATAGCATTTACTGCAATTCTTTGAATGTATCAAGTGAATTGGCCATGATTATTTTTGCTTGAAAGAACAACTAATAAAAAAACTCTCATTATTTAGGCCTGAGTAATTAACAAGTATCTCAAAGAAAAATGAAGTGAGTCTGTCATTTTAAGAGAAATAACTCATATTATTTGTTTGTGATGATAAAATCTAGGCTTTTGGATAAAAGCCAGGTACTAATAAAAAAACTCTCATTATTTAGGCCTGAGTAATTAACAAGTATCTCAAAGAAAAATGAAGTGAGTCTGTCATTTTAAGAGAAATAACTCATATTATTTG